TGCTCTTGCCTTCTGGCAGCTCTTCACATGCATGCACTAGGAACAGGCTCCTCCTCTTCCTCTGCCTCACTTCTGTCTGCCTCTGGAGCAGTGGTGAGAGTTGAGTAATTTAACAACCGGTTCTCTGCCCTAATGATTTTTTCCAACAACCAGTTCAGCAAACTGCTCAGAAAGTTAACAAGCTAACCGGTTCTCCCGAAGTGGTGCGAACTGGCTGAATCCCACCACTGCTCTGGAGGCTCCGACACAGAGCCCTCATTCCCAGACTCCAGGACTGGCCCATGGTCCTCCCCTGCCTACTCACTGTCCGACTCCACTGCTAGCTCCACGGGCTGCTTGCGGACCACAACTCACAGAGAGACGTTTCACTGGTCAGGGGAGATTTGACGGAGCAACAGATCTATATATTAGCTGCAATTAAACGGTGGACAAGAATATGTTCTTCTTCCCGAGAAAACGCTCCATGCCTGAATCCATCCAATTAAAAAAAAGACGGTCTTTCAAATTAGTCAGGGTGGCCAGGTGGGAAAATACAGTTCATTCTCCCAACTTGAATTGTATGCTCAATGCCTCCATGTCTTCTTTTGGAGTGAGCTTCAGAAGGTGTAATTAAAGTTACGTGCTGGCAAACCAGTGCCCAGATTAAGTGTGGGTCAGAGAAACCTGAACTTGGGTTACGAGATTTTTGAAGCCAAGCAGCCTAGGGTGTGAAACAAAGGAATTGGATTATGTTTTGAAGCTAAGAAGATAAAGGTTTAGAAGGCACAGAGCATCCTTGGTTCTATAATTGTATTTCGCAGAATTATTTTCGAGACCGGTCACTTTCTGATTGCTTAAAGGTTTCCAACTTTGTACCCCTCAAGCTTCCATAATATATATAGGATTTAACAGAATAACAGAGTTGGAAGGGACCTTGGAGGTTTTCTAGTCCAACCCCTGCTTAGGCAGGAAACCCTACCCCACTTCAGACAAATGGTTATCCAACATCTTCTTAAAAACTTCAGTGTTGGAGCATTCACAATTTCTAGAGGCAAGTTGTTCCACTACTTTATTGTTTGGTCAAGAAATTTCTCCTTAGTCCTAGGTTGGATCTCTCCTTGATTTGTTTCCATCCGTTGCTTCTTGTCCTGCCTTCAGGGGCTTTGGAGAATAGTTTGACTCCCTCTTCTTTGTGGCAGCCTCTCAGATATTGGAAGGGGTTGCCACATTTCCAGCTAAGACTTCCAGCTCTGATAGTCATCCTCTCCCCCTTCTGTTTTATCGTCTTGCCAGTTCCTTTGACCTCTAAATAAATTGAATTTGGGTTAAAATTGCACAGATGCTGATTCTCCATATTTATACTGAAAAGACAAAGAGCTCAAAAGACGAACCTCGGCTTGCTCTACAAACTGGATTTCCCCCAAAAGTATTAACATTTGTGTTTAATTTTTATTTAGTTCCTCTTTTTTTCCCCCTTTGACACTGGAGTGATTGTTAAAGAAGAGTGTTCTTGGGCAAATACTCATAATTTCAGTAAGAGACATGCTAATTAGGACTAAACTGTTCAGAATCTGCTGGTTAGCTGGAGTATGTGATAAATAAATACATAAGCAAGCAAGCAAGCAAATATGCTTGTCTTCATCTTGATGGGCGTGGCTTGGTGGGCGTGGCAGGGGAAGGATACTGTAAAATCCCCATTCCCTCCCCACTCCAGGGGAAGGATACTGTAAAATCCCCATTCCCTCCCCACTCCAGGGGAAGGTTACTGTAAAATCTCCATTCCCTACCCACTCCAGGGGAAGGATACTATAAAATCCCCATTCCCACCCCACTCCAGGGAAAGGATTACTGCAAAATCCCCATTTCCTCCCGATCAGCTGGGACTCAGGAGGCAGAGAATAGATGGGGGCGGGGCCAGTCAGAGATGGTATATACTGGTTCTCCGAACTACTCAAAATGTCCGCTACCGGTTCTCCAGAAATGGTCAGAACCTGCTGAAACCCACCTCTGCTGTGCACAGATATCCAATGACGTAACCATTAGACCTCAGGTGAAGTCAACCCATCTAAAACCTCATCTGAAATCTCAAAGAGCACATCTCATACAACATAGCAGGGGTGAAATGCTCCCGGATTGGGCCGGATCGCCCGGTCTGGTAGCGATCTTGGCCAGTGGTTCGGCGATCTAGTATCGATGGTGGAGCAAAGCTCCGCCCACCCACCTAGATGTCATTACTTCCTGGTTTTAACCAGGAAGTAATGGGTTTTTTACCTTTTGCGCATGCGAAAAGGTGATGTGCACCTTTTGTGAGGTGCACTCGTGGGGCGTGTGCATCCGAACCGGTAAGGAAGGTAAGCAGTTTTCACCCCTGCAACAGAGGTATGCACTTTGAGTTCTCTGAGGCTTTCGCTTCTCAGGGATACATACTTCAGACCCTTTTGACTCACCATTTATCCACAATTGGCTCTGGATTGTTTAGAACAACGGACAATTCCTGGCATCAACGTCTTCCTGGACATTTCTACGTTAACAATCTCCTTGGTTCTCTTTCACTTCTGCTTTTTTGATTTGTACATATCTTCCGGCTTGCCCTAAGATGACCTTCTCAGATGACTTCTCCTTCAGTTGAAAGAGAGAAGTTTAAACTCTTTTAAGTTTATTCTAGCCATTGGCAGAACCACTAGGGTTAAAGTAGCCCACTTATTTGTTTTTTGGTTTTTTTTTCCCAATGAGTTTTAATTTAAAGGATGGAACGCCCCAGTTATTTGCTTTATCGCTTGCCTTCTCTTCTGACAGTTGCACTAACAGATCTGGTTCTATTTATGCAATGAAATTTATGAGACTTTACCATGGGGAAAGCTCATCTATCTGCCAGCCCACGTCAGCAGAATTATAAACCTGTCAAAGCCACAGTATTTCCAAAGTGACCTATGCTGGCTGTAAAAACCAATGCAAATGCTCCAATAATGTATGACAAGCAATGAAACAATTCCTGGAGAATAATAATAACACGGTGAAATAAAAGAGGGCCATATTTCGGCGTCTTTAGAATAATGAAGGACTTCTACACCAGCTTCATTGAACTCAGCTAAATATTGCACTGGAGAGATTTTCTTTTTTTAAAAAAAAAAACTTTGCATTTAGAGGATCAACATTAATTTGCTTTCCTTTTTTTCTCTAAGGTTCCAGGAAGAATTAAACTTTTACTGCCGGTAAATAGAAACCACTAATTTTTGAAGTCTGCAAGGCTTGTCACCATGATAGGCAAAGACAATTCAGAGTGATCTGTTGTGGCCTGCCAGATTTGGACGATGAGGAGGTTGGGAAGGAACTTGGGCCAGTTCTGGAGTCTGGGGAAGGCTCTGATGGATGCTGTCCATCAGATGCAGAGATAGAGCCAGGGCCGTCCGACATTTCCCAGCCACTAGAGATGCAGCTGCCTTTGGAGGCTGAGATGAGTGAGGAGGAAGAACAGCTGGGGCCCCTTCGAGATGCATGTATGCTCAGAGCAGTTAGGAGAGGTGAACAACGGAGGACAAGGAGTTGACCCAGGAAGCAAAGCACCCATGGATGCTGAATGGCCCCTCACTGGCTGGGGAATAAAGAGAAGGAAAGGGGAGTGGTTGTTGTAAGAGACAACAATTTGTATGTCTGAAGATTTTGCTCATTGTGTTTTGTGCCACAAAAACTGCTTGCCAGAACTTAATTTGCAGCCTTTCAGCTGGGAGCTCACAGCCTTGCAATTATCACAAGGAACGTATAAGGTCTGTTCCTGCAATTAACTCCTTGAAGGACTCTTGCCTGGACTTTTCGGTGGGTGAATGCAATTAATTCACAAGAGGTAAATAAAGAGGGGTGTTTCTTGCTTCTGCTAAGGCTGGGTCAGAACATGATCCCTCAAGCATACCAGAGATACCTTTGGGGTTCTTGCAGGATTAGTAGGCACAAAATCATGGTCAGTGTACTAAACTTCTCTCTAGGGCTTTAGAAGAGTCCTGCTTGTTGAGAAATTACCAACTAGGCTGGAAGAAAGGAGGGAGGGGGTCAAGTGAGGGTTTAGCTTGGCGTCCTTGTGCAGTCACAAACTGCATAAGCTTGATCTCCATCAAGATCCCTGAAGTTTTATCTGGTCAATCCCAGGGGAAAGTGAGAAGTTTGGTGAGATTCTTTTAATATAGCTGGCAAATAATAAAGTTACTGATTTGTGCTCTTCACGAGTAGTTCTGATTACTCGCACTTGACACTGCTGGTCCTTTCTGAGAAAATATGAAGTTCCGGAGAAAAATTGGAAACAATTCAGGAAAATGTTTAAAATGTTTAAATTTGCTTTTTAATTTGCTACCTTCCTCTGATTTATTTATTATTTTGCCCCCTAAACATACACCTATTTGCTGGTGGCCAAAAGTCCTAGTATACTAATATTACATATTCTAAATATTGTCTACCTAGGCATATTAATTGTAGAAGAGCTCCAGGATCTTCCAATGAGAACCAGGTACCCAAAAGTAATTGGTATGAAGCCAGAAGCAAGAAGTGAACTCAAAGATAAAACCCAGTCTTTATTCCCATCCTTTTGAATGGGAAAGCCTTGCTAATAGAACAGAGTTCCATGAATAGCAATAGCACTTAGACTTATATACCACTCCATAGTAACTTTACAGCACTCTCTGGGTGGTTTACAATGTCAGCATATTGCCCCCAATAATCTGTGCCCTCATTTTACCAACCTCGGAAAGATGGAAGGCTGAGTCAACTTTGAGTTCATCAGGATCGAACTCCTGGCAGTGGGCAGAGTTTGCCTGCAATACTGCATTCTAACCACTGCGCCACCAAGGGCTCCTCAAAGCTTTAGCTATGGCTTCACCATCTTCCTAAAGGCTTCTACCAAATCATGTTTCATATGACAGAAGAGTGAAGTGAATAAAGAAATGACTGCAGAGTCATCACAAAACTACAGAATAAAATAAATAATATAAAATAAAATAAACAGACATGAAACTTGAGGGGTATTTTTTCTCCCTTTCCTGGTTCTTTAGAAGACAGATCCTGGTATATCTTTTTTATAGAACATCAGCTGTAGAGAAGATAATGGATGAGTTTGCTTTTCTGGCATATTGCAGAGGTATACAATTACATATTTATTTATTAGTTAGTTAGACTTCTATACCGCTTCATAGTGCTTTACAGCCCTCTCTAAGCGGTTTACAAAGTTAGCATATAGCACATTGCATAATAGCATATTGCATTAACATTAGCATTAGCATATTGCCCCCAACAATCTGGGTCCTCATTTTACCCACCTCGGAAGGATGGAAGGCTGAGTCAACCTTGAGCCGGTGAGATTTGATCTGCTGATCTGCTGAACTGGCAGTCAGCTGAAATAGCTGCAGTACTGCACTCTAACCACTGCGCCACCTCGGCTCTTTATGGCTTCAGACACACACACACACACACACACACACACACACACACACACTGCATGCCAAAGTTTTGGGTACCACTCCAGAGATTCGCTACATGTTTCATCTGAATAAAAAAAAAAGTGGGGGGAGGAGAGTGAATTATTCTGTACATGGCCGGAGAGAAACCATTTAAACTGAAATGATTGAAACTTTGTTTTATCTTCTATGCTTGTCTGCTATATTTGAAAGAATGTCTTCTTCAATGTGCCACTCAGATCTGCAATAGGACTTTCAGCTTAGAAAAGTCAAAACTGTTCACCTGGTAATTATTTCGAAAGTCAGACCTGAAAAGAAAGGAACGCAATGTTTTGTTGTTACCAAGGCTACTTTGGACATTCACCATAAATGCATTATTAACTAACTTGCTTTAACTAATGGATTGTCAAGGAATTCAAGGTAAACTTCTGAAAATTATATTGAGGTCTATTAACAGTTCCGAAATAAATCTGTGCCGCTTCTACTTCTACAATCTGGATGGTGTGCGCTGACCTTCAATCTTTTCCAGCACAATCTTTTTATGTTTTCATAGAATTTATAACGCAAAGGTGAAAAGAAATGTACTCGCTTCTCAACAGCTTCATTTCATAGTCTTGATCCAAGATGTAAGCTAGAACATAACTATCCTTCCAAATTTACATTTCTCCAAATTCTGCAATGCAATCTTTTAAAAAATGGGTATAAACCAGTGGTGGGATTCAGCCAGTTCACACCACTTCGGGAGAACCGGTTGTTAACTTTCTGAGCAGCTTGGCAAACTGGTTGTTGGAAGAAATCATTAGGACAGAGAACCGGTTGTTAAATTACTTGAATCCCACCACTGGTATAAACATATATATTTCATTAGTGAAAAGTTTGTACAGATCTACTTAATGTTAGGGAGATTAGCATGTATTTGAACAGGAGGAGCTGCATGCTAAGATAAATGTATATATAAGACAAAACTGCCTCATATTTTTAAAAAAATCAGTGAAATGGAAACAGAACAAAATGAGAGAAATCAAAAGCCAAAATCAGCCTATTCCAAAATGATATTATTAAATCATCTAATAAGATTATTCCCAATCTACCTCCTCTTATCTAGATGTTATACTGCAGAATCTTTTCTAATCTACTAATACACTCCTTCAATAGGAGGAGTGTATTACCAGGAGCCCTGGTAGCGCAGCAGACTAAAGCACTGTTATTAACATCAGCTGCCTGCAATTACTGCAAGTTCAAATCTCCCCAGGCTCAAGGTTGACTCAGCCTTCCATCCTTTCTAAGGTAGGTAAAATGAGGACCCAGATTGTGGGGGCAATAAGCTGACTTTGTATAAATATACAAAAGTATGAAGGCTATTGCTTAACGCATTGTAAGCTGCCCGGAGTCTCCGGAGAAGGGCGGCATATAAATCAAATTTTTTTAAAAAAACCACTTTGTGTCAGTTCCCCCCCTCCCAAAAGAATAACCTATACTGTGATGTGAGAATATCTTTAAGAAACAAGAGGAAGAGCCACAACGAAGATAATGGTCAGATAAGAGAAATCTGAGTCTAAAATAGGAATGTAATTTGAGAAAACATCTAAGCTTAATTTTCTCTCGTTGTCTTATAGATAAAATAAAGGGAAGGGTAGATGCTTTTAAATTTGCAAGATTCTGTTACTGTAACAAAGTTATTAAGTTAATAGTCACGATTTAAGTTTTTTAGTCTGGTCTACTTCAAAGGGCTGACACAAAGACGCATAACTGGCTCTAACTGCAAACAAAGACCACTACAGTGGTACCTCAGTACTCAACATTAATTGGTTCCGGGAGGCACAATGAGTAGCAAAAATGATGAGTACCAAACAAATGTTTCCCATAAGAAATAATGTAGGAGTCACAAGGCAGCTGACACCGACAAATTTTAGCTTGTGTGTTGAGTATCAAACAAACAGTGAGTGCCGGGACAAAATGTTCACGTCAAAATGCGTTGAGAGTATCAAATTTGATGAATTTCAAAGCAGTTGAGTACAAAGGTACCACTGTTCTTTGAAACCTCAAAAAAAACCAAAAACCTATTTCTATTGCAGAAGCTGTGGTATAGTTAAATTAATGTCACCCCTGCAAATTAGCTCCATTTTCTGAAGGCCTAGCAAATCTCTCTCTTTCTCTCATTTTCTAAGATTATGAAGGATTTGTTTTATATTGGCAGAACTACCGACATCTACATCTTTCGATTCCAAATCTCAGCAAGCAAAAATTAATTCTATTAAATGATTAGCTACATTGGATCTTTGGTAAATGCTGTGAGGAACTAACCCCATCAGGGGGTTTCTGCAATAAAACTTAAATGTTAAATACTTAATCTTTTTTTTTTCCTTCTTATGTATTTTCTGATAAGTGACAATTAGATTTCTCTCACCCACGTTCTTTCTACATTTGGAAAGCTTGTGCATTGCTGATGAGCTAGGTTCAAATTGGTGGGTCAGAAGCGGAAAAAAAAACCCCTAGGTTTTGTTGATTCTAAGTCATATCTAAAGAAGATGCAACAGGAAGGGTGAAAATCAACTAAACCTTACAAAACATACAGGGATGGCACTCGTTAAATGTATCCTTTGGGACCGAAATCCATAGAGTGGAAATTTTGAGCAAAAGGCCATTCTGAGGATCAGAAGCACAGATTGCTCACTTTGGTAGAACTTGGCTTGAGTTGGACACAACTGGACAGGAGAAACCTTCACCTTTAGATAGACAGCAGAAAGTGCAGCTTGACTATTGTGACCCATGACTGAAGGAGAGGTGCATTCTGTAATAAAGATGTTAGCCTTTTTTTAATCCAATCTTCCTTTTTTTCTTGGACGACTAGATGTCATCAGTAAGGCAACTGACTGGACTTTGGAATTACCGTAACTACCGTATTTTTCAGAGTATAAGACGCATCTTTCCCCCCCCAAAAAAGAGGGTGAAAATCTGGGTGTGTCTTATACTCCGAATGTAGCCCCGTCCAGCTTCTCAAACGGAGGTTTCAGAGGCTGAAAAAAGCGTCAGAAAAGAAAGCCCCCAAACAGAGCTTCAGAAAAGAAGCCCCCAAACAGAGCTTCAGAAATAAAGCCCCCAAACAGAGCTTCAGAAAAGAAGCCACCAAACAGAGCTTCAGAAAAGAAGCCCCCAAACAGTGCTTCAGAGGCTTTTTTTCTGAAGCTGTTTCGGAGGCTTTCAGAGGCAGGAAAAAAAGTTTTTTCTGAAATGGAGTTTCAGAAATTTCAGAGGCAGAAAAAAAAGCAAAAAAAAAAAAAAAAAGCAAGGCATAGAGCTCACAACCAAGGAACCTGTTGCTAAAATTCACCTCTGGGAACAGCTGATTGGGAGTATTCCGGGAGGCCGATCCACCTGACAATCAGCTTTTTTCTTATTTTCCTCTCCAAAAACTAAGGTGCGTCTTATACTCCAAAAAATACGGTAGAATTAATTCTATGCAAGACTGCATTTGCCGGGGCTTAAATGACTCTCCCTTGGACTGTACTTGACTTTCTTGGTGATCTCATCAGTCTGATATTTTCACTGACCCGATGGTTCCCGCTGTTGTGAGAACAGGACTCCCCTTAATCTATGTCATTAGCAGGGGTGAGATTCAGCCGGTTCAGACTGGTTCGGGCGAACCAGTAGTTAAAGCCAGTGGCTGGGCCCGCCCACCTGTCCCGGTGCTATCTCGTCTTATACAATCGCCGTGGTTTTGATGCGGCGTGCATGTGTGCAAGTCGCATGAGTGAGAGCGAAGCAAGCCTGCGCGTGTGCTCACATATTCGATTCTGGGAAAACTGGATGTTAAAATTATGTGAAGCTAACCACTGGTCATTAGCTAGAGCAAGGGCAGAGGTGGGATTCATCCAGTTCGCACCTATTCGGGAGAACCGGTTGTTAACTTTCTAAGCAGTTCAGAGAACCGGTTGTTGGAAGAAATCTCATTTTGTTTTTTTTCCGCGTTACAGGGCTAATCCTGTAAGGGAAGTTAGGAAGGAAACATTCTGGTGTTATTTCTAGCCTAATCTTTATTTCCCTGCTTACAGAAACTGCCTCTCTGGTTAACCCTTATTACATTGTAACAGCTAAGGCGTTACAACGTGAGTGACGTTGAGTTGGCCATGCCCACATGGTCACATGACCACCGAGCCACGCCTACCCAGCTGGTCATTAGGGCAGAGAACCAGTTGTTAAATTATTTGAATCCCACCACAGAGCAAGGGTGATCAGAGAAATGCAGTGTGAAGACATCAAAATCGGGATAAAGTCATGCTAGATAAACCAGGGAAGAAAGGTTTATCATTTTCATGGATATCACTCCATGCCGGGGGGGGGGGGGGGGCGGGGAATAGTCCCTCCTATCCTAAAAGATGCACAAAATCTCCAGAAATTCTGATTCACAGACATTTACGGCCCGCAACCGTTCCGATTCCAAACATATGTGTATGCTAAAATACCTTGGAAAGAGGCCCATTTGTTCATTGCAAAAATTGTTGACAAACCAGGCAGTTGAAAGGTACAGAAGTGATTGCCGCCTGTCTCTTTTGACTGATGCGTCTACAGGAGACACAAAAAACACAGGCTTACAGAAGGCTGACCTTGCGCTGTGGGTGATCCGTCTTCATGGAACCTGTCATGTTCACACAAGGATCAATTTCAGACAAAAAGAATCGGGCCTGTAAAACAAGAGGTCCTTGGACATCCTTAAAGAGGGGGAAAAAGAAGATGTTCAAAAGCTTAAGAAGGATCTCACCTTACATTAAAAAAAAAAAAAAATCAGCACAATCCCCTGGCTGTTTTCTTCTACCTTCTAAACTGATAAATATGAACTCAGACTCCCCACTCTGTGGATTTCCAAGATTCCCCACCTCCCTCTGTCCTTTTAATCCATAGGGTTCAACCCTCTTCATGCAAGGAGAAAATAAGTTTTATCTGTAAAGCTGGTGTAGTAAAGGGCTTAACCAGGGGTGAAATGTAAAATTTGTTACTACCGGTTCTGTGGGCGTGGCTTGGTGGGTGGGTGGGTAATGTGACTGGGTGGGCATGGCCAACTTTTTTTTTTTTAAAACTTTTCAAAGCATTTTTTCTAATGCTTTGAAAAGCCTCTGCCGATCAGGCAACTCAGCTGGGAGCGTCAGAGACTTTTCAAAGCATTTTTTTTACCACCTCTTCGGCCAAGAGGTTGCAAGAAAAAAATGCTTTGAAAAGCCTCTGATGATCCCAGCTGAGCCCCGCGATCATCAGAGCCTTTTTTTTTTTACTTTTGAAAGCATTTTTCGTCAGAAGAGGTTGTAGAAAAAATGCTTTTAAAAGTAAAAAAAAAAAAGCCTCTGATGATCGTGCGGCTCAGCTGGGCATGGGGGGGCGGGGGCTGCAGGGATTTTTGCTACCGGTTCTCCGAACCACCCACTGCCATCGCTACCGGATCGGGCAATCTGGTCCGAACTGGGAGCATTTCACCCCTGGGCTTAACCCTTCTCTCCTTCTCTTTTTTCAGCTTAGATGTCTTCCCCAGCAAGCTGATTTTCTCTTTGCCTACACAAATAGAGGTTTCATAGAATTATAGAGCTAGAAGTGGCCATGAAGGTCTTCTAGTCCAACCCCCTGCCCATGGCAAGAGTCCTTATTCCATCCCAGACCAGGGGTGAAATGCTACCGGTTCGCTCCAGTTCGGGCGAATCGGTAGTGATAAAAACTACCGGTTCGGGAAAACCGGTAGTAAAAATGCTTTAAAAAGTTTTTAAAAGGTTCCAATGATCAGGTGCTTTGAAGAATAACTTGGCTCCCACTTCCTTGTGGAAGCCCCTGAGATATCGTAACTCTGCTATCATGTCATCCCTGGTCCTTCTTTTCATTAAACTAGACATACTCAATTCCAACAATCGTTCTTTATATGTCTTAGCTTCCAGTCCCCTAATCAGCTTTGTTGCTCTTCTCTGCACTCTTTCTAGAGTCTCCACATCTTTTTTTTTACATTGTGGTGACCAAAACTGGATGCGGTATATACCAAGCGCGGCCTTACCAAGGCCTTATAAAGCGGTATTAACACTTCACGTGATTTTGATTCTATCTGTTTTATATGGCATTGGGATGGATGTCTCCAAAGAAACTTGAAGTTGTCATCAAGTTTGGCCTTCAGGGTGTCCTTGTTAAAAAAAAGACATGAGTTTGATTCTTATGTCGGTTACCCTCAAGGACTCCTTTTCTGCTTTTTGTGATGCCCTATCTAATTCTGCATACCAGTAGGAAGAAGGGTCAAAATCCATGGGATGATTTAATTGCTTTTGTTTGTTTTTTGTTTTCTTGTTTTGGTTTTTATTTTAGTGAGGGTAAGCTGTTTTTATGTTTTGCGCACACTGACAGTTCGAGCCGAGATTTCTCTCTGGATTCTGAAATGGTATTAAAAACAAAAAGAAACAGCAGACAAACAGATCTGACGGGAAACATTGACTGATGTCCAATATTCACTTATTAAAGAATATAAATGAAGCAAGGAGGGTTGAAAGCGGATTTGATACGTCCATTTGGGATCATTTTTTGGAAGGACAGGAATAGCAGCATATTATTAGATGCCAGAATACTGTTATTCTGAGCGATGCCAAGTGAATCAATATAATTCTGTCAGGGTGGGCAAAAAAGGAAGAGCTGAGCAAAAATAAAGAAGCATTGCATTGCCAGAATTTTTTTTAAAAAGAGGTGAGATATCAGTCTTCGTCATCGTTGCTAGTCTTTTAGGATGAGGTGGAGGTAGGATATTCTTCAGCCGGTAAATACTGAAGTCCTCGACTTACAACAGTTCGTTTAGTGACCATTCGAAGTTCTAACAGCACGGAGAAAAGTGACTTATGACCGTTTCACATTTATGACCGCTGCGGCATTCCCATGGTCATGTGATCCAAATTCAGATGCCTGGCTACTGACTCATATTTATGACGGTTGCAGAGCTCTGGGGTCACTTGATCCCTTTTTGCGACCTTCTGACGAGCAAAGTCGATGGGGAAGCCAGATTCACTTAACAACCGTGTTTCTGTGTTACTTATTTATTTATTTATTTATTTATTTATTTATTTATTTATTTATTGGTTTGATTTATATGCCGCCCTTCTCCGGAGACTCAGGGCGGCTTACAATGCGTTAAACAATAGCCTTCATACTTTTGTATATACCTGCTTAGTAGGGCTTTCGGGCCCCCCCAAGCGGTGTTCTTTTTTATACAAAGTCAGTTTATTGCCCCCACAATCCGGGTCCTCATTTTACCTACCTCGGAAGGATGGAAGGCTGAGTCAACCTTGAGCCTGATGAGATTTGAACTTGCAGTAATTGCAGGCAGCTGGTGCTACTTAACAGTGCTTTAGTCTGCTGTGCCACCAAGGCTCTTGTTACTAACTTAACCATTGCAGTGATTCAATCATGACTCAGAATAGAGCTGGAAAGGACCTTGGAGGTCTTCTGGTCCAACCCTCTGCTCAAGCAGGAGATCCTACACCAGTGATGGCTAACCTTCTTGCCGTCGCGTGCCAAAAGCGGAGCGAGCGTGGAGGGGTCGCGCACGCACATGCCCACATCCATAATTCAATGCACTCCCCCACCATGCATGTGCACGCGACCCCCCCCACACACTCCCCCTGCTTTTGGTATGCAAAGGCACGGTGGGCCCAGTAGGCCCATTTTTCGCCCTCCCCAGGCTCCAGGGGCTTTCTAGGAGGCTGGGGAAGGCAAAAACGGCCTTCCCCACCCTGTCCAGAGGCCGGAAATGGCCCATTTCCTGACTTCCGGTGGGACCAGAAGGCCCATTTTTGCCTTCCCCAGGCTTGAGGCTTTCAAGGAGCCTGGGGAGGATGAAAACAGCCTCCCCACCCCTCTGGAGGCCCTCCAGAGGCTGCAAACAGCCCATTTCCCAACTTCCAGAAGGCGCTGGAGCTGAGCTAGGGCAAGCTCGCGTGCCTACAGATATGGCTCCGCGTGCCACCTGTGGCATGCGTGCCATAGGTTTGCCATCATGGCCTTACACCATTTCAGACAAGTGGCTGTCTCTTCTGAAAAACGTCCACTGATGGAGCACCCACAATTTCTGGTGGCAAGCCGTTCCACTGGTTAATTGTTCTCACTGTTAGGAAGTTTCTCCTTAATTCCAGGTTGCTTCTCTCCTTGATGAGTTTCCATCCATTGTTTCTTGTCCTGTCTTCAGGTGCTTTGGAAAATAAGCTGACCCCCCTCTTCTTGGTGGCAGCCCCTCAAATACTGGAGTACTGCTATCATGTCACCCCTACTCCTTCTTTTCTCATCAAAAAAAGGTCATAAAAGTACTCACCAACTCGGCATCCCAAGGGCAATGGTGATGTCACCGGCTTTAAACCCGGAAGCATCTCAGCAAGCATGCAATAAACAAAGAAACAAATATTTCAGCAACACTTAATCAAATTGGGGTTGAGATGTATAACTGGGGGGGGGTGTTTCACCAAAATCTGATTCCATGGCAATTCCATTCCGTCTCTTGCAGAGGTTTCATGGAGACGTTAAACAGAGGTGCAAAAATCCTGGAATCTCATGGCAACTACCCTGTTAAGAACCCTGGGCTCAATCTCCTCCTCCCTGGCGCAGTCTACCCTAGCCTCCATCCTATCTCCTTGGATATACTTTCCCCAAGAGAAGACCCTTGGAGCCAGTCAAAAAAACTGCTTCTGCTTTTTGTTGTCTTGCTCTCTTGATTGACGAGAACGTCGGTTGTCTTCTGCTGTCTTGATGGACGAGCTTGCCTCAATATATCGTACCATATATAATCTCAAACAGATATTACAAGCTGCAAGTAGACATAGTAACACAGAACGGGGGCGGGAAACTGTACAGCAGGAACGATGCCACATTGCATGATAAATTCTTCTCGCTATTATAGGGGTTGCCCATGAACATTGGTGGCATAGATGCCCTTTCCAATAGCAGCTGTCACACTTCATCCCACCCCAATCCTTTCTTCCCTATCAAAAGCTTTAATGCGGCACGTCAAAGAGCCCCTATCTTTATTCTGAGTAATTAAGGGAGAATTATTGGCAGCTATGTAGGAACCAGCTAACCAACCCATCCCTTCCACCAGAAGGAAGTAGATAAATCAAGAGGAATAATGTCAACAAACTCCTGCGAACATCCAAAAACCCGCAGTGAAAGCAGATGGCAATAAAAGCAATGAGATAAAACAGCTTACTGGGAGTTTACCCAACACAAATGAAAACAAGGCATGTCTCTATGTAGCACGTGTGTGTATGTACGCATATACGTATGTGTATATGTGTGTATGTGATATTTGTATGTGTGTGGATAGATAGATGATAGAGATAGATAGATAGATAGATAGATAGATAGATAGATAGATAGTAGAGACAGACAGACAGACAGACAGACAGACAGACAGATAAACAGAGATGGATAGATAGATAGATAGATAAATAGATAGATAGATAGATAGATAGAAGATAGATAGATAGAAGATAGAGACAGACAGACAGATAGGCAGAAAATAGATAGATAGATAGATAGATAGATAGATAGATAGATAGATGATAGATAGAAGATAGAGACAGACAGATAGACAGAGATAAGATAGATAGATAGATAGATAGATAGATAGATAGATAGATAGAAGATAGATAGAGACAGACAGACAAACAGATAGAGATAGGTAGGTAGGTAGGTAGGTAGATAGATAGATAGATAGATAGATAGATAGATAGATAGATAGATAGATGGGTGGGTGGGTGGGTGGGTGGGTGGGTGCGTGGATGGAGGAGGACCCCAAAAGAGATTTTGCTTTTTATGGTTTTCGTGTATTGATATTCTATCAAACATTCCCCCTTGGCGTTTCTCCATCTCTTCCGTGCCATGCCCTCCGTTTAACTGACAAGCATGCAAGATCTCACATAGAGTGATCTTTTTCAAAAGACATAACGAAAGGCTTAATCAAGCATGACTTCTGAATGAGTTGCATATCCTAGTGGTTTCACTAGATGTATCTGGAATGAAGGGAAACTCGCATCTTCCTTGGAAGCAGGGAGCTTTATATAACCAAAAGAACACGGTTGAGGGAGAAACATTCAAGGCAGGAGTGCAACTTGTATAAGAAAGTATTCTAGAGACCGAGGCATGCATAAGATCAAGTAAAGATTAGGTTTCTTCCAGAGATTGTGATAAGAAGCTTGGGCTTACTTGTCTCAAAGGTGCTTTTTCAGAAGGCAACAAGACTGTGTTTTTTTTCCTTGAGGAAGAAGAGGTTTCGCTCCTCATCCAAGAAGCTTCATTGGTTCTGGCATTCATGGCTAAAGCAGACTAGAAGTCACCATCTCCTGGTGATTGGCTCAAAGTCATCCAGCCGGCTTTCATGGCTAAGATGGAACTAGAACTCACAATCTCCTGGTGATCAGCCTAAAGTTACTCACATCACTTTCGTATCTAAGGCAGGACTAGAACTCACCATTTCCTAGTGATTATTCCCAAAGTCACTCAGTCGGCTTTCACGGCTAAGGTGGGACTAGAACTCATCATCTCCTGGTGATCATCCCACAGCCACGCACCTTGCTTTCATGCCTAGGGCAGGACTAGAACTCACCATCTCCTGGTTTCTAGCCTGTTACCTGAACCACAGGACTAAACTGACTCTCCGAATAGAAACATAAAGTTCTCCCAGGGAATTATAGTTTGGGGGAGAGGAGGTTTAATACCATCCACCTAGGTTGCCTGCTTTGTTTGTCCCTGATTGTGCACAGCAGAGGGCTGTTAAGTGCTCGCCTCTCCCATCCCACCCAGCCTGTCCTTTGAGGATCATGCTTTGATCGTGTTTGCCGTATAAAAGCTAACCGATGTTCTCAAGTAGCTGAGCTTTTACTGCCATGGGCCTGGAGGCAACGGATGACCTATTAGAAGAATTCCAGTTGACTAATTTGCTCCTAGCATTGAAGAAGAGATGCCAAGCATGTTAATTCTGGAGGTCACTTGGCGTTTGTGAGAAGATTGATCTTTACAATACATAGAGGACTCTCCCTCCCTCCCTCTCTTTCTCTTTCTCTTTTTTTTCTCTTTCTCCTAATGGTGTCTTTGCCCCATCTATAAAATATATGTGCACGCTTTTAATTTTCTACCATTGAATTTCAAATAGCGATAAGATGCCCTGAGCTGGAAAGAGGTGGAATTAAAAAAAAAAATGTTGCAAATAAATATGCACCACAAAATCTGATTAATGCAGCGTTATTGTAAAAGAAAATAGATATTTAAAAATATCACAGACCTTACTTATCATAATATCATAAACCTTACTTTTATAATGGGAGTATAAAAGAAAATACTTAGTCACCCAACATTCCTGAAGCTCTTGATGTTTGGGGATGACCTTGTTCAGGAGAAAAGGCAGTACGGTACCAGCAGAACAAGTTTACCTTGTGGAAGGTCCATAGTTACTGTATATCCCCTTCAGTTTCACACCTATGAGCAAGGACTCCTGAGTAATTTTGGGAGACAGCCAGTCAGTTACAGATGGATTCTGCTCATATGATGCACAAAGCCACAGGAGAATTATTGTCCTACCATTTTATACCACTGCTGTTCTCAGCTCTTTATCCAGAGTTAGAGGTCCAGCTAAGTACTAGCCTAAAAACCTAATAGTAATACCTATTTTGGATTTGCAGAGCCTGAAATTTGGAAGTGAAGGATACAGTTTGGTGGATTTTAGAAGAAAACCTCCTATACTACCACCTCTTACAATACTAGACAACACAGTATCAACAGTAGAGTCCTTCAAGGTTCTAGGTTCTATCATATCTCAAGACTTAAAATGGACACCTAACATCAAAAACATCATCACAAAAGCTCAACAAAGAATGTTCTTTCTGCGCCAACTCAGAAAGGTCAAACTGCCCAAGGAGCTGCAGATTCGGTTCTACAGAGGAATTATTGAGTCTGTCATCTGAACCTCTATAACTGTCTGGTTTGGTTCTGCAACCCAACAAGACAAACACAGACTTCAAAACGGATAATTAGAACTGCAGAAAAAACAATTGCTACCAACCTGCCTTCCATTGAGGACCTGTATACTGCACGAGTCAAAAAGAGGGCTGTGAAAATATCTAGAGACCCCTCACATCCTGAACATAAATTGTTTCAACTTCTACCCTCAAAACGATGCTATAGAGCACTGCACACCAGAACAACTAGACACAAGGACAGTTTTTTCCCCAATGCCATCACTACTTAACAACTAATTCCCACAACACTGTCAAATAATTTACTAAGACTGTATTACTATTATTCTTCTCTTCCTTACTAGTATCTATCTCATCCCACTTATTACTATAACCATGTCGCTTGTATCTTTCAATTTATATTGTTTTTATTTTTTACAAGTACGATTTGATAGCTTATTAGTAACCTTGACTATCACTAAGTGTTGTATCTTTTTATTCTTAATGAATGTATTTTATTCTCCTTATGTACACTGAGAGCATATACACCTAAAGCAAATTCCTTGTGTGTCCAATCACACTTGGTCAATAAAGAATTCTATTCTATTCTATTCTATTCTATTCTATTCTATTCTATTCTATCTATTCTATTCTATTCTATTCTATTCTAATCTAATCTAATCTTATTCTATTTTTATTCTATTCTATTCTTGTCTATGATTCTATTCTATTCTATTCTATTCTATTCTATTCTATTCTATTCTATTCTATTCTTTACTCAAGGTTAATTGGTTCTAGGAAGTGAGTTGAGTATCAAAAATGATGAGCACCAAACATTTTTTCCCATAAGGGAAAATATAGTGAGTCACAAGGCATCTGACATCAACATGTTCTAGCTCTGGGATGGCGAACCTGCAGGTAGCACCCTCTCTATAAGCACACAAGCTGTCACCCCAGTTCAGCTCTGTCGTGCATATGTACGGCCTCCCGCTGGCCAGATGATTTTTGGGTCTCTGCCACGCATGCACAGGTAGCGGGGCACATACTTGGGGGGCGTGGGCATATGGGGGCCCCACACATGCACAGGGGGCAGGGGGCATGGGGGGCCACACACACATGTGCGGGGGGGGCGCAAGCACAGGGGGGCACGTGCGCATTGCATTTGGGGGGTTCGGGCACGCTTTGGGCACTCGGTCCAAAAAAGGTTAATCATCACTGTTCTAGCCTGTGCATTGAGTACCAAACAAATGATGAGTATCGGGACAAAATTTTCATGTTGAAATGTGTTGTGTGACCATTTCGATGAGTCTCAAAGCAGTTGAGTACCAAGATACTACTGTATTTAACTGCATTTTGATATTGAATAGATCTGCTCATCTTGGATATATTTTCTGGTTGCCTACTCTGAATAAATCACTCTTCTTAATTTCCCACATATATTAAGGTGGGATGGACTGTAAAATCGTAGAGTTGGGTAGAGACTGCCCAAGCTAGTCTAACCCTCTGCAATGTGCAAGAAAAACCAATTAAACCATCCAGAAGAGGTGGTTGTCCAGACTCTCAAAAACCTCCAGAGATGGAGAACTCACAACTCAATAGGAAGGCCATGCCAACTGCTGTACAAAACATGTTGTTGTTTGTTTCTGTCCCATTCTTCCAGTGCTGCCTATCCAACAGTAGAGTAGTATGTCAATGAAGGGCAGAATTAAAATCTGAGCAATAGACTCTCGGCTATAGAAACATTTCTCTGTTGCCAAATTGCATGTTTAGCTACCCCTTGTCCTCACTTCTCCATTTTAATCTCTCCAGTCAACAGCCTTTTACCATTTCCCTTTTAACAGACTCTTGAAATGGGTTTTTACTCCATGTTTAAGTTCCAGAATGATTCTATTGTTATTGTAAATCCCTCTTGGGTTATTATTGCGTAGCCATCTTTTCCTGAACAGTTTTTTTTTTTTTTTTTTACAGTAAATGAACTTGTTGGAACAACCTTCCATGGAAGGATTCTTCTCTTGTTTCTCTTCCCCTTCCCCTTTTCTTTCTTGGAGATTGTCTTTGACGACAGTCATTGGAGAGTTTTCTCTAATTAGCATGACGGAGAATTAAAAGGTGCAAGGGCAAGAGACTGC